TGGTGTCCGTGAGCATATCAAAGGAAGTAAATGACTGGTAATATTTATATATTGAGGAAATGCTCTGCATTCACAAACAATTTGTTGACGTACTGTAAAAGGATTAATTCACTGGGTTTTAATTTTGCTTATACGCTGACTGGAAAATGCGCTAAATTAAAACCCAGTGAATATGTAAATCTTAGCATAGAACACATTATCTAAATGCTAAAACCGTGAATTTAAAACGCACTGAATATGCCTGAAATGGTAAATCAGCAAAATTTAAACCCAGTGAAAATTAGTAATTTTACAGTATATCAATTCAGAATTGTGTTGCATATATTTAGATATATTGTTTCCTATTGTTCATTATTTTACAGCTATTTTAAGGAAATTCTTTTCACGAGATGACATACCTGAACCACAGAAAGTCAACCAGACCTCCTGGTACAGTAATCCTTACACAAGGGGTTCATATTCATATGTTGCTGTGGGTTCCTCAGGAGATGATATTGACATATTATCAAAACCGTTACCATACTCAGAACATATGACAAGTAGTACACAACACCAAGTAAGTTTAGTGTGGTATATATAGTAGATCTGTGGTAGGCAATGTGACATTGGGTCTGTGTGACATTGTGACATTGGGTCCATACATGCACACACTATTAAAAAAAATAAGTATATACCGATAAGTGTTTCAATGGCCATGTGCATCACATACCAGTTCAGAAAGCTGCTGAAAGGTTTTGTTAAATTTTTGATTCAGATATCACATTTATTCACATCACATTTTCTTTCCTTTCAGCTTCAAGTACTATTTGCTGGAGAAGCCACTCATCGCACATTTTATTCAACTACCCATGGTGCATTGCTCTCAGGTCAAAGGGAGGCTGACAGGATATTGTCCCTTTACAAGTCACAAATTACCTCAAAGTAGTGAATAGTAAAAAAATAATTATATGTTAAGCTCAAATGGGAGGCCGATGTCTGTCTGTATAAATGTGTACATCTAATCTTGTTCTACAAATATCTCAATAAAAAGTTGGTGAATTGGAATAAAACGTGGTGCAGATTACCTTATGATGAACTCCAGCTAGATTTTAGTACAAATTCATGCATATGTAATTAGGTGATGTGCAATTTCAGTATGTTCGTTGTGTGTCTCTGCAACAATTTCATTGATATGCTGATAGTTTGCTTAAATGGATGTGCCTGCTATTTAATGAATATCTGTGCATGCTAATTAGCAGATTTGCATAACAATTCACATTGCTTATTCTATATTATATAGTAAATGGTTGACTTTTATACATGCTGCTGTGTGCGCAGCTGAATATCTGAGTAATTTGCATTTAATCATTAAATGTTAACTAATGGTTTTCAGCTCATTTTGTATCTTGAAAATAGCTAACTTAATTAGCCTGGATGCCAGACTACTGTTGTGCTGGTTACTCCCTCTCCATTGGAATCTGGTCCCCTGTCATTCCAAAATCAGATCTTAGTCAAATTTTGATCAAACTTGGTACATACATCAGACATTATTTTCATTTCTCAGATCAAATTCAAAATGGCTGAATGCTGACCATTTTAATGATGAAAATTCATCAAAATTAAGCATTGCATCCACAACTTGATCATATGGACAGATTTTTGCTACTAACATCGGATATTATGGGACCTGGATGAAAGA